TATTTTTCAGAATTCAGTCAGAAACAGAGTCATTTAACCATGTTTCTGAAAATGAAATAATGTCAGATTCGAACTCTATGCTGTCTTTAAATAAGTTTTTAAGCTAAGATAAAAGACCTCTAACATTTTGGTAATGTAGGGTAAGCGGAACGTGAACATGGTCTAGTTTTCTAAGGCATTACTAGTAGTAGGTTGAAAAGAGGGGGCAACAGGCAATGAAACATGAGCTGGTTGAGTTCTTTTTCTTTGTTTGAACTCATGAAAATCATATAAAAAGGCAAAAATTTAGGGTTACAAATGATAGGAAACAATTCAACGGAGACATTAATTTTGAACGACGCTATTTCGCGAGGTTCGGAAAAATTAAATTTAGAAATTGAAACAATAGCAGAAGTTTTGCTAGCGATATTAGTTTTAATGAATTCGCAAGTCGTATCAGCGGATAACCTCGATACAAACACTTGTTTCCGAGGGCCACGACACTAGGAGGATTGGGAGCAGAAGCTGCAACCTCCGCCACTTTAGGCGTTGTCTGAAACGCGTGCAGACCTTTTTGAAGCAGTACTCAAAACTGCTTTGTCATTGTTCGCAGGCGGAATGTTAACCAATTGGTTAAATTGGTTGTTAACTTCAATTGGAGAAGGCCATCAAATATATTGAGCCAGAAGGGATAGATGGGGGAACATTTAAAAATTACGAATCCAACCGGCGTTTTGCTGGAGACTCAAATTTATACTTCCTTAGCAAGGCAATACCCAAATCGAAATCGCTGGTCAGTTTTTTTGAAATCTTATGCAATTTTACAAATATAAGCATCCTTAATAATGCAAGATTTTTTGCTGCAAGCTATATGCAAAAACAAATTTTAAAATCCCAATGTGGCTAAAAACGGTGTAAAGTTCAAGATAAACAGACTGAAAACACGAGAGAGGCTACTGGCAGCAAAAAGCAAAAGCTCTAGCACAAGAAATGTTAGAGAGCGAAACACAACAAAGTGCGTGAGCGCGATGCAGAAAAAGAATAAAGCACAAGCAAACTCACACACTCAATTGTTAAATAAATTTGTACAAATTTCTACAATTTCAACAGAGCAACTATGGTTAATAGTAGTAAAATAATAAAAGTAATGTATCAATGGGATAATAATTATTTATTATTTGTTCTGCGTCGAGCTTAACAACTAATAACGAATTTATTGTTCCTCCATTTGAAGAACTTCTTTTATCGTTTAAAATTAAGTGAAGCGATGAAAATACCATTTCAACGGACACCTGAGTCGCCGGTGTAGCCAGCACAACATGTGCGTGAGAACACAGGTGCTCTCCAGAAATAAAAATGGCTTTCCGTCTGTGGTCACAATTTTAAGAAATCAACTTTCAGCCATTTTGGATCAGGAGCTACAGCACCATTTGGATCCGATTACACACCACCACGTCGTGTCATATATTGCAATTGTCATTTCAATTGTGATTGTTGATACCGCATACCAAAGGAGAAGCCGACAAATATCACACTGGATGAGTTCTGTCGGCAACCAGAAGAAACCCTGCACGCTTTCACTGTTGACATAAGTGAAGGTTAAAGAAATGTTTAATGGCCAGGAGTATGTTGGTGATTATCTATGTCCCATACTTAGGAAGTTCATTGTATTGTATCATTGTACATATCATGAGCTAGGCATGGGCCACGCATGTGCACACGAACCCAACAGAGGCATATATTTCTAGCTATTGTTAGAATAGCGGCCGCACATGTGCATAAAATAACCACCAACCGGCCGCCACGTCTGTATTTTTTTTTTAAATTCCTTTTTTTTGGAGAGTACAGGTTATTGTAGGGTTTGCTCGACTGTAGCATTTTTTCTTGTTTATATTGCCATTTTATTTCAGTCCTTCTTGTAACTCTTTCAGTGTGTACATATCTACATTAAAACTAGAGATGGAACATTTTAAACAATAACGACATGATACGTTCCTAACGAATTGTTTACATATACAAGGAGTGTTCCAGAGTAAACAGAACAAATGGTTTTTTCGGCAAAATCAATTTATTTTATTTAAAATAATCTTCTTCAATACAGCTTTTTGCACGATCCAAAAGCATGTCGAACGAGTGTTTTAGCTCGTTGGCCTGTATGGTCGCCAGTATGTCGGTGCAAGCCTTTTGAATGGCCTCTAAGTCTCCATAACGCTTTCCTTTAATGGGCAAATGAAATTTTCCGAAAAGGTAGAAGTCGCACGGTGCCATATCAGGTGAATACGGTGGAGTGGTTAATGGTTAAAATGTGATTTTTGGTCAATCGCGGAGGCACTCGTGTCACGCTTCGACGCATGGCAGAGACGGGCCCACTTCGGGCCAAGACTTAACAGCAGCGCCAAAAAAATAATTGCGCCGTTAAACTCAGCTTTTCTTTACTTCACTTTATTAGCCTTCAATGCCGATCAAATCAGGAAGATGTCCCAAATACATAAGGATTTTAATTAAATGATCCGCATTCGCGGAGAACACAACCGTGTTGGTCCAGATCCAACCAGGAAGAGAGCAACCCCTTAAAGATAGTTGCGGCTGAAGCCTTGAAGTTGGCTCCAGCAGTGTGGATCGTGTAAAAACTGCTGTTTGTAGGTGGCACATGTGGATGTATCGATAAGCACAAATCGAATTTTCAACTATGCATTACAGTATTTTTACTTCTCTTTCCCACCTGTGATCCACAATTGTGCGAGGGAAAAATACATAAACTGCTGTAGCATCGAAACTGTATCAAACGTGACAGTTTCTTCCCTTTAGGAAGCATTTTTTTTTTATCTTGGCAGCAGCGTCTGAATGAGGACACAGTCGGCGATTTACTCCGAACAGCCCATTCCGTGTAGTGAATGTGCGCGTTCATCTTAATCCAAAATTCTCGCAATTTAGCAGTCGACCCAGCATCTACTTTCTTAAACTTCAGAAACTCAGTAATACGTACCTGGAATATAAGAATTGGATATTGTTCATTGTCTTTGCTATACGAATGCAAATGCTGCATTTCCATGATTCGAAAATGGCTTGCACGATTAAATCTTCAGCCGAGCATTTACTGACGAAGCAAGGATAATACGCTTTTAATGTACTTTCCTTCTTGTGCTCACACGGCACTGCAGAAGAATAAACGCTGCCAATGTTTAGTGCAGTGTCCTAATACGGGGAAAAGCAGCAATGCACAATGAAAGTATAGCAAAACTGTCTCTCGTGCCAATGTCTGCACAGAGCAATGGCGAATGATCGCACCAAAACAATGGCACATGGCAAAACTCCCGCGTTTTATACAACCAACTGTGTACATACATAGGTACACTGATGCTAACTTCTTCATTCACTTAGCATGGTGCACTTAATAATAGTTTTTATACTCTGTTCATGAAATGTACATTATATTAGATTTACGCGACCCGGACAGGCAGAAGGAGGCGTGGCAGACCCCACAAAGTATATATATTCTTGATCAGCGTTACAAGATCGATATGTTCAAAACGCTAAGCAGTTTTACAATTTTTGAGGCGCAAACGTAAATCTTTAGCTTTGCCTTGTTCTTGTCGACTTATTCGCTAAGTTTTTTCAGTGAACTTATTCACTTATTAGTTTCAATGGTGATTCATACCTTTATACACCTATAAATTTCAGTTCCTGCATTCTGTCAGGTATTAAGTCAGTCAAATCTTCCTACTCTCATCATATCATATAACGATCCTCTCTGCCACACTCGTTTGCAGGATGATCTGAACTGCATGCAGAGATGGTCTTGGTTAACCAATTGAACCTTAACTGCTCTAAATGCAAGCTTATATCGTTTTATCGGTCCAGACCTCATTTTGTCACCTATACGACAATGACAATGAATTATTGCAACGTATTTCTACTGTCGAAGATCTAGGAGTACTTTTTGATTCAAAACTGAACTTCAATCTTCACATTTTTTCTATTATAAGCAAGGCTAAGGGCGTTCTTGGATTCATTAAACTTTGGTCCAAAGAATATAATGATCCCTATACCACTAAACTACTTAACAGTTCACTGGGTCGGCCTATTAAAATACTGCTCATGCATTTGGTGTCCACAGTGCCTAACGCATCAGGATCGAATTGAGTCTTTTCAGAAACAATTCCTCCTTTTTTCTCTTCGCGGCTTAAACTGGTATCCCCACCTTCGTTTGCCGCCTTACTCGAGCAGACTTTTGCTTATTAATCTTCCTTCATTGGCTAATCAGAGGACTGTCCTTGGAGCTGTATTTCTCCATAAACTAATTGCCGGTAGTGTTGATTCTCCTTTAATATGAGGTCGTATTAATTTCTCAGTTCCTTCCAGAACGACAATAAATTATCTTCCCCTTTTTCTTAGTAGGTGCATCGATTATGCATCGCACAATCCTTTAATTGTTTTATGCTCATCTTACAATGAGTATTTTCACCTGCTCTCTACTGAACTGTCCCTTCCTTTAATAAAAGCCTCTCTTTTCAGCCATCTTCGGAATCTCTGACCAGGATAGGCTGTGAGACGGGGCATAGCTTGACGGACTGGCTAAAAAGTCTTCCCTTACGCTGATCAAGAATATATATACTTTGTGGCGTCTGCGACGCCTCCTTCTGCCTGTTACAAATTGTTACATCCATCCGGATGCCCGGATGAATTTATAAATGTCTATCGCCTTTCTTTTTGCTAGTGCCGAAAGATTTGGGAGGAGGCCATATCCTAGGGAAACTATATTTCCTCCTCTTCTTCGTCTCTACAACTTCCAAGTCTAGCGGTATGGGAGCCCACCAGCCAGTGCCCCGTGATGGCTCTGATTACAGCTGAGCATTGGCTTCTACTCAGTTTACAGAGTTCTAAGGTCCGTTTCCTATCGCGGATTGACCACGTTTTTGTTTACACGTTAGAAATCTATATAAGTAGTTCTATTCTGCGTTGTACTAAGCCATTAATATAATTCTGGTATGTTTTTTAAAATTTCGTATGTCTCTTTGCAGATTCAAATTTTTTGGAATATCAGGGTCCAAGCTTTTCTCTGGAACCACCAAATACAATTGAATTTATGAACACAGTTGGAAATACAGTCAATTGTATAGCATTGGGCAATCCAGAGCCAATTCTGCAATGGTTGGATAAAGAAAACAATCCCATTACTTCAATAGCTAAGGTAAGAAGATCGAAGAATATAGATGCACTAGCAGGTCTTGCCCGTCATTCCTGCGCCAAGTATTTTTGCTTACAAATTTAAGCTTATTTACAATGTCTAATTTCACTTCCGACACTCTCGAAGTTTCTCAAGGTGTTACCAAATAGCTAATTTCTTTGTCACGTTCCGAGAGCTAGTACAATACATACTGTGTATGGTTTTACGTACATACATACATGTATATGATGTTCAGGGCAAGTATTTCCTAGAATTAAAAGCTCCATAATTTGGAAAAGGTATTTGATCAACCTATTTAACTGCACGACATTTAATGGATCATACACATATATGTATGTATGTATGTATATACCTTCATTATCGTAATTATTTCTTCTACTCTTTAATACAAAAATTACAAAAATATGAAAGGAATGCTAAAGTCGAGGACATGTTCATGGACATGTTCATGTACAGTTTCAAAAGCATACATTTACATCAGAATCGTGTCTCTGCGTGTTTATATGCGTGTATATATCCAGCATAAAGTTAAAACAAAGCAGCAGCAACAACAACAGTTGCGTGCAGCAGTGCGTGCAGAGTTACAAGCAGAGCATGGCTATAAATTTCTACAGATTTCACCTATCATAGCGAAACTTGGCATACAGACACATAATCAATAACGGGATGTAGTTACCAAATTTTAGTTCGAAATTCCAAGAATTACGGGAGTTTTGGAAAAAAACACGAATTTCGGGGGAGTGGGGGAGTGTATCAGAATAAAAAAAACAAACTTGACCTGTCTAGGGCTCAGGGGAACCTGGATACCAAGTTTGGTAATTCTAGCTCTTGTACCTTCTGAGATCCTATCGACTCGACTTGTCACCCTGATCAATAATATATGTGGGGTCTACCACGCCGCCTTCTGCCTTAAACAAACTATTTTATATAAATATATAAAATACATAAATACATAAACATGTTTTTTTTTCGTATTTTATTTAAAACTGTCCATCATAGACAATCATTAAATTGGATAAAGATAAACTTCACAGTTTATTATTTCATTTAGAATGTGGCTGTAGTATCCGGCTAGTCCCTGGGGAGGTCCAGAGGATGGGTCCTGAGCAGCCTCCTGGTCCGTTCGCTGTTGTCCAGCAAGTTCATCGCCAAGTTGTTGGGGTGGTCATGTAGCCTCTGCATGTACCGATTGCTGATTTTCTTAACTTCGTCCTTCACCCAAGGGAAGCTGAGGACTTCATGAATAGTGTCGTTGTCATGCAGAGGATGAGCGCTGGTGGCGATGCGGAGAGCTTTGTTCTCGAATGTCTGTATAATTCGGACATTTGTTTTACAGGCGGTGCCCCACAATTGGATCCCATATGTCCAGATTGGCCTGATGATCGCTTTGTATACAAGAAGCTTTGATGACGTCGGCAGCTTGGATCTCCTACCCATCAGCCAGTAGAACGCTTTAATGCGGTCTTCTGCCTGGCGGCGCTTCTTCTGCAGGTGCGGTTTCCACGTTAGCCTCCTGTCGAGGGTGATGCCAAGATATTTGGGAGTGTCTTTTTCTGGGATTGTAATATCATTGAGGCTAACTGTTGGGCAGTTGCCGGAGCGGGTGGAGAAGGTGGTGGCGGTGGACTTATTGCTGTTAACAGAGATGTTCCACTTCTTGTGCCACGAGTTAAGCAGATGGAGTTGCTCTTGCATTAACTGGGAGGCCTCTGCCTGCTACGGTGAGGAAGGCCGTGTCGTCGGCATTGTGGCTACCATAATGTTGGGGCTCAGTAGCACCGGGAGCTCGGCCGTGTAAACATTGTACATAAGCGGGCCGAGGACGCTTCCTTGGGGGACACCAGCGCGAACATCTTTGAGACCTGAGCGGGCTTCTCCACATTTGACGGCGAACCTTCGGCCTTCCAGGAATGACTTCAGGAAGTAGGGCTGGGGCAGGCCGGATTTAGGGGAATGTGGATACAAAGTTGGATTATTCTAGCTCTTGTTCTTTCTGAGATCCTTGCTTTCATACAGACGGACATGACTATATCGACTCGACTTGTCACCCTGATCAATAATATATATACTTTGTGGGGTCTGCCACGCCGCCTTCTGCCTTAAACAAACTATTTTATATACATATATAAAATACATACATACATAAACATGTGTCTACATAAAATACGTGTGGGCTAGTAGTTTCTACAATTAAACACTGTAAAATTTAACAACGACGTACATGCAGTCCTCACTTACAAGTGCAACTTATTCCTAAAAAGCGGGACTGAGCCTGTGAATATTTAATTTTGATTTAAAAACCGGGATGTCCCTCCAAAATCGGGACGTCTGGCAACGCTGATATGTACATATGTACATTTTATTTTTTGATGCAGTAGCTATCTATCCTCATATGCATGTACATACATATACATACACTGTATTCAATTGTACAGTTCAACACTTATCCATATGTGTTTATACTCTGTACATGTAATGTACAAGAGTATATTAGGTTTGCGGGAGCTGAAAAATGTAACAGACAGAAGGAGGCGCGACATTCCTACATTCGGCCATCCAACATCCTCATTCGCCTCGAATGATGGACCCCACTTCTTCATATATTCAGCACCCGTACTTGTATTGTTGGGACCCTCATCATCCCCGATCTTCTCTACCAAATACCTGCCATATCGCAATTTTCTAACTATTCGATAAGGACCTAAATACTTCTTTTTATACTCTGTACATGGGGTCAGCCACGCCTCCTTCTGCGTGTCACATTTTCAGCTCCCGCAAACCTAATATACTCTTGTACATTTTATGTACAGAGTATAAAAAAATATATATAAAAAAATTTAATTATTTAAAAAAATTGAATTAATTAATTAAATTAATAAAAAAAATTATTTAATACATACATAGAAGACACGTTTATGTTCAGTTTTAACAGCATACATTTACATCACGTACCTATGCGTGTTTATATGCGTGTATGTATGCAGCACAAAGTTGAACCAAAGCAGCAACAACAACAACAGCTGCGGACAGCGCAACAAGCAGAGCATGGGCAGCGATTCTATTTATGGCTATAACTTTCTTCACAATAGACCTATCATGATGAAACTATGGCATACGGACACATAAGCACTAACTGGATGTAACTACCCAAATTGATTTCAAAATTCAAAGAATTACGGCAGTTATAAGAAACAAGAGAGAACGCTACAGTCGAGAAAGCCTGACAGTGAAATACCCTGTACCGAGGTAAACTTCCGACACTGAGGTATATGCGCTTCTAGCAGAAGCAAACAGAGAAAGAAGAAGAGCGAACTTGTTGCTGCAGTTTGGGGGGTTGCACTGGAGAGAATTTGTTTCGCTAATAACAACATAATAATAACAATAGTAATAACAACAGTAGATAATTATATATAAATTATGTCTGCAAAGTTTGGTAAATGTAGCTTTTGAAATGTGGACGGTATTGACAAAATTCTGTAGGGGGGGAAAATTCCAAAAAATTAAAATAATCTCGTCCTTTCTCGGACATAGGAGAATCTGGATACCAACTTTGGTTATTCTAGCTTTTATAGTTTCTGAGATCCTTGCGTTCATCCAGACGGACAGACGGACGGACATGTCTAGATCGAAGTTGGCATCCAGATTCTCCTAGGTCCGAGTAAGGACGAGTTTATTTTTTTTTTTTTTAATTTTCCCCCCCTTCCCCCGCTGCAGAATTTCGTCAATAGCGTCCACATTTCAAATGCTACCTAAACCAAACTTTGCACACATAATTTATAAGTAATTATCTACTTTTGTTTAAAATTTTTTCCAATTCTGTCTAAGAAAAGTTATTAGCGAAACAAATTCTCGCCAGTACAACCCCCACAAACTGCAGCAACAAGTTCGCTCTTCTTCTTCCTCTTTTTGCTGCTGCTTTGGGCGCATATAACTCAGTGACGGAAGTTTACCTGGGTACAGGGTATTACACTGTCGGGCTTGCTCGACTGTAGCGTTCTCTCTTGTTTAAAGCTCGTTTTCCCCCGTTGGAGCTAGAATTTTCCAAAAGCCTTTCATAGTGTGCTCCTACACTATGATGGATACTATGAAACGATACTTGAGTCCAAATTTAAATTCACATTTGAGTCTTTTCGTGTCATATTGAGTCAATACGGCCACGCACAAAATTGGAATATGAAACACGGCACTCGTGTCAATGCCGTGCAGCGATGAGCCACGATCAAAAAGCACTGGCACCGATACCATCAAAATATCGAAGTTTGAATGCAATAAGCAGAATATTTAAATAATGAAATCGAATTATTTATTGAGATCAATAAGAACAAATCATATACATACATACATACATACATCTGCCCGCAATGCGAAGCAGAATATGCGTAGCTCCGTTATTCGGTTTCTGCTTTACTATCGCTTACGCAGTCGTTGCCTAGCGACGGTAACTGTAACATTTTGGCGTTTTGCCTTTGCAATTAACATTAAATGGTCAAAACGAAAGAAGAAGAGCGAGCTAATGACAATCAAACAACTGTGTTCGATTGCTCAATGTATACATTAAAACGAATGTACATACACGAACTGTTACTTATTGTGTGTGAGTGTGTGTATGTGATGTCCCCAACTATTTGATATTTGTTGTTGCTGCATAAAGTTATTAATGAAAACACTAATTCCAAATGCACTAAACAAAGAAAAAATTACTTTTAAAAATGTTATATTATATAATTTTCAATTAATTAACATTTCTTGCTCTGTCAGTGCAAGACGAATGTACATACATACATATGTAGATACATATGTATCTATGGACATTCACACATTAGTGTCTCACATTTTGCTTTGACTATTTCAATCGTTTGCACGCAACTACACGAACAGCTGCTTGGATGTGTGTGTGTGTGTGTGTGTATGTATACATAGTTGTCCCCAACTGATATTTTGTATTGTTTGTTCTCCCTGCTTTTGTAAAATGCATATTTTGAAAATCCTTGAATGCAAAGTTG